AATGGTGATTTGCAGGTCTTATATACAACTCTATATCTATAGAAAGAGCAATAATTAGTTAAAATGTAACTTTTGCCCCCTAAAGCTAATACACATGAGACAGTCATAGTCTCAGGATGACAAGTGCAAAATCCAGGAGGTACATGTGAACATCTGAAAAGACTACCGATTCTCAGTGACTTTGATTGTATAACATACTTGGAGAACAGAGGAAAGTAAGCTCTCCCCTCTCCTCTTTCTCCCTCTAGTTGCATCCTTGATAGAAACTTGCAGTAAAGTAGTATTTGTTGTGTCACGGTTTTTAAATATCACAGTTCAGGGTGTCTCCATATGAATGTTGGCAATAGCAATCATTTATCATATTATTTAATGATTTCAAATAAATGGTTCAGAGGTCTATAGCATAACCTCCAAATATACATTATACAATATAATTATAAACACTGTATTGAAAATTAGAGATGGTTTTATCCTAGATAGAAACCCTGTTATTTCAGCTTTTCCGTTGGTTACAACTCTGGCCAACCAGAAATCTGTTTTCTTGTAACTAGTCATGCTGGCAGGAGTGAATATAATCTGAGACACTTCTGCTTCCCTCTGTGACTATCAGAGTACAGAAAGAAAAGATGCCCAAACTTAGAATTTTTCTGGTGACCTTCTGCTGGGAGAAGAAATGTCTGCTGCCTTGGGGGCACCCAGGAGAAATCTGTGTTCAAAGGCCATTTACATGCTAGGTAAACTAAGGCTTTTGTAGAGCCTTTGGAACTAGGGTAATATTGGGCAAGAGACCACATAACGGCTGTACTGCTTAGCTATGCTTATGTCTTGTCTGAATCTCAAAGATGGAGTTGGTTATGGGTGACTGTCTCTCCTCCTAAAGTGATCACAATTAATAAATCTGCTTTTTTCTAGATTTCACAATTAATTTGACTCCTTTGTTTGGCTAATTTAGGTGTGTGTGGTGTGTGTGTGTGTGTGTGTGTGTGTGTGTGTGTGTGTGTGTAACTGTCTTGTTGAGACACACAGGCTGTGACCCCTTAGTCATGTACATCTTTGCTTTCTTATTTTCAGGTTTTCATGTAGCTGATATAAAATTCCTGGTGCTTTGTTGGCTTTGATGCTTGTAAGGCTTTAAAGTGCTGTTATGTTATAGGAGGTAGAGAAGGTTCTGTTATGTGATGTTAAATCTATTTTGTAACAGTACGTCCACACTTCGTCATTTCTAAGTTGATAGCCTTATTCTCACTTTTGACTACTAATCAATACTTTTTACTAATATTCATGTTCCATCTCTTTTTCCTCTTCTACATTTTGATCTAAACCCTTTTCTAAGTCCACGAATCTTTTACAGACATCACCACGAACATAACCCCTTGTTTGCAAGATATCATTAGGAAAAGACTGAGTGCCTCTCTGCTTAAGCTCCAGGGCTGTGCTAAGGACAGCACAAACAAAACATGAAATCCGGTGAACTATGAGCTCTGCCTCAGAGATCAAATGCAAGAGGACTTAGAGAGCTGGGAGAAAAACAGGCAAAGTAAAAAAAAAAAAAAAAACAGTTCACGTTCTGTGCAGAACCGATTTTATCCTGACCTGTGTTCTCTGGGAGCCCCGAAGTGGGCAAGATGACAGAGTTGCTCCTGAGTGGGCAGCGAAGAACGGGACACCCAATGGAACTCCTGGCCAGTCCTGGGATAAGTATGAAAGTGGGTGCAGCAGGGAGCCCGGGAGCTGGGCAGGCAGGAAGCTTGGGCGGAAACTTTTGGCAGGACCTCGCGGGAGTTTAACAAGCTGGGGCGGGGACCTCAAAATGGGGATCCACCCTGCTTGCTGCTATGTCCCTGTCCTGGTTGCATGTAAAGTGTTCATGTGGGTTTATTCTTACTTGTCTTTGATATGTAACTACTGGAGCAGAATGCTCAGGATCTTTAAAGTCTGCGGAAGTGGCAGACCTGTTTCCAAGGAGCTGCTTGGGTTGCCATTCACAACACAGTACAGCTGTCTCCTGATGTCTCCCCTTGCCTGTTATTATCTTGTTGTTTTTTGGGCTGAGTCTGAATGACGTTAAGCATAATGATGCTGAACATACTTCTATATGTGTATTGGCCACCTGCAGTTATTTCATGGATAATGTCTATTCAGATCCTTGGATCATCTCTCCTCCTCTTTTTCCTCCTCCTTCTCCTCCTTTTCCTCCTCGTCCTCTTCCTCCTTCTTTCTTTTTGGTATTTGACTTTCAAATGCATTCTCCAGGTTTACAATATATTTCCCAGGTTTGTGATTTGTCTTTTCAGTACTTTTAATGTTTTTTATTTTTTTTTCTTTTTTTTTTTAATTGAGAAAAGGAAAAAAAAACAAGTTTCCACCTCCTCCCAGCCTCCCATTTCCCTCCCCCTCATCCCCCCCTACGCCCCCTCCTCCCACCCTTCTCCCCCTCCCCCCACTCCTTTCCCCCTCCCTCTCCAGTCCAAAGAGCAGTCAGGGTTTTCTGCCCTGTGGTAAGACCTAGGACCTCCCACCTCCGTCCATATCTAGGAAGGTGAACATCCAAACTGGCTGGGCTTTTAATGTTTTTTTGATGAAAGAAGTTTTCGTTTTAATGAGTCCTATTAATGAAACTTACCTTAGCTGCTTCTCTGTATTTGAGGTCAACAGAAAAACAAATTTCAAATTCAGTAATAAATATATTTTCACACCTTTATTAATATCTTATATTTATAATTCTTAGCTTTACTTCTTAAAGCACTTTAATTGATCATTTGTATATATTCATTTGAATATGATCATTTAAGAGGTAGAGACACCTGAATGTGGGTGACAGTTCTACGGCTTGGGCAATCTGTATGCCCACTGCAATGAGAACAAAATTTTTTCTTATTGCCTGAACGAGTTTATTTCCCAACATTAGGAATCCTAGACATACATACATATACATATATATGTATATTATATGTGTAAAACGAATTATCTATCTATCTATCTATCTATCTATCTTATATCTATTTTTGAGACAGAGTTGTATCCCTGGCTGTCCTAGAACTCTCTCTATAGACCAGGCTGGCTTGGAAGTCAGAGATCCATCTGCCTTTGGCCCTGGAGTGCTGGGGTTAAAAGCATGTGCCACCATGACTGGCTACTGTTTTGTTTTTCTTTTTCTGTTTTTTCTTCATTTATATTTTTTTCATAAAATAAATTTTTCTTTTTGGTTTTTGGAGACAGGGTTTTCCTGTGTAGCCTTGCCTGTTATGGAATTCATTCTGTAGTGCTAGTTGGTTTTGAGCTAACAGAGATTCCCTTGTATCTGCCTCCAGAGTACTGGGACTAAAGGGGTGTACCACCAGTCTGGCTACACAAAGTAATTAGAAAATAAAAATAAAAAAAGAAGTTTAGGTTACCCAGGCAAGAAGGCATACACCTTTAATCCCAGCACTCAAGTGACAGATGCAAGAGGATCTCTATGAGTTCAAAGCTAACCCGGGTTACCTGGAGGGATTGCGAATGCCTGGAGCTGCATAATGAGAGTCTGTCTCAAGAATATAGATAATCATTCACAAGGAGAACAAATAAAAGAAAAGGATAAAAGAAAATAAAAAACAAATATAATAAACAAAGAAACGTTATTTTCTCATCAAACACTGGTGCTGAAGTATTGGCTCAGCAGTTAAGAGGGCTGGTTGCTTTTTCAGAGGACCCTGAATTGGCTTGATCTCATCTAATGTGAACTTTGGTTTCAGCTCAGGAGAATTGGCAGGATCAAGAGTCTGCTTCTGTTGTCCTAAAATTTTCTCCCTGTGAACAATCAGTGTTCTTTTCACCCTTGTGAGCAATGATTTCTTTTTGCCAGTGCTGCCTTTATACCTTGGGCCTGTAACTTTGTGACTTTGGCATAATCTGTTTGCAAATCTATGGGAAACTTGCTTGGCCAGTTTCAGCTCTCTTCCTTATTTCATTTAATCCTAGCATCAGCTTGCTTGTATTGCTATTAAAACGTCGGGAGCTAATCATAGGAACTTTTACATCACAAAGGTAATCTATGTCTTATTGTCAGGGTCATGAGATAGAAATCCCAATTTTTTCTTAATAAATGTATGTCATCTGCACACAGAAATCACAGTACACCTTGAAGCATTTGTCCCATTTCTAGAATAGCACGATCCAGTTATATCTGAGTTAGCTATGATATCAGATTAGGATAGTCTTGTTTTTACATTTAGAATTTAACTTACCCATCAGACCCTTATAGTATATACCTGGATTAAAGAACTAGATCCTTCGATTCATTAAAAAATTATTCGCTGAGTATCACATTGTTCTATGAAGTGGGGATATATGAAGAAGAAGAAGACACGATCTCTGTCCATGATGAACCTCATATAGGGTGGGTGTCAGCTGTCACTGAAAGTGCAAATGAGTGACACAACATGTCACAATGCCATGACCTGAGTGCCATTTGCTGTTTTCTTCCTGATGTTTAGAATTCCTGGATTTTTATTAACTGGAATAGAAATGTGGTATAATGACACATGGTGACATCAGAACAGTCACTGGTATGACCTCCAAATTAAGTTGGAGTTGTGTGACTCCAACTATCTTCCTAACAGAGTATTTCTTTTTGATTCAGGGCCATCATAATGTAGGAGGGCTTCAAGTACTGTGGACCCAAGGGTCTTCCTTTCTATATCATGTCATCTTAATCTCCTGTGGACAGGACCACAAGGAGTGTCCTGTCAATAATTAAAATCCATTCCCACAGACTTACCAATAGACCAGACATTCCTCAGATGACACTGGGCTTTGTTAAGTTAGCAACTAAAGCTAACTAGGTGGATAACTAAATATTTTCTTGATGTGGGGTTCCCCTCTATATGCTCAGGTCTACTTCTAAATGCTGAAATAATAGTGACAGTGTCCAGATCAGTTGTGACTAAGGGATACAAAGGAAATCTTCCTTTGCTGTGATGCACTGGAGGAGGTCCATGTGTCAATCCTCCTGACTTCATCTACTCCCTTTTCTGCTTCTTTCCAGACTTAGCAAATGTCTGGCAGAAAAAGAGCCAGCACTTTGTGATTACTAATATCAAAGTCACCATGCAGGCAAGCAGGAATCCAAGCACGTCCAGAGAGTGGTACTGGTACCAGGTGAGGTCATGCGCTGCCACACCTTTTTTGGCCCTTTTTTGGTGCAAGACATACTCAGTCCAGAAAAGAGCTCTGTCCAGGGGCTTCACGGGCTGGTCGTGGTGGATTCTTGATAGACACATGGCGTTCTGCTTATAGCTAAAGACATCGATATCAAAAACCAATTAGTCTTACGTGCTTCAAGCCTATGAAAGGTTCAGGAAAAGCAACACGAAACTAAGTAAATGCAATGGAGGAGCACTAGGTACAGTGTGGTTTTGACTGGGACATGTTTGGAGGTTTGCCTGGAAGTTTCTATTTTCTGTGAAATTCTTTCCAGAACTGAAATGGGAAACCATTTTACCTAGGAAATCTTTCCAGCAGAGCAAATATTCATATGCCTTTTGTTCCCCTGTACTTGGGGTGGTTCATACAGTTTGACACTGATCACACTGATGCTTTTTGAGAAGAAACTGTATCAATATTTTTTGAATGCTCAATAAAAACACTATTAGTGGTTAAAATGAAAATGGGTAAGAATGGAATATACATTGCACAAGATGACTTCAGGGCTGGGATGCAGGTCCTTGATAACTTGCTTATAAATTATTTCCATCATCAAATTTTTCTAAATTAACCTCACATATAGTAAGTCTATGGGGATAGTTTACAGTCTTGTTAGACCATAAATTTCATTGGACAATGTTTGAATGATCTTTATATTGTTTTTGTTGTTTTTAAATTTAGACCAAAAATTAGATGAATTTGGCTGTTACCTTGGATAGAACTTATCTAAACTAGTACCAATTGAACAAATCACTGTACTCACGAAGGGTCATTTATGACTGTCTTCACAGCATGGAGCAAATCTGTGCTGGACATTGTGAGAAAGTTCAGTCGAACACCTGCTCCTTTGGTCTTCATGTGAACAACATTATCACATCGGTAGAAACTGCAAAACAATCCCACACCAGTTAAGAATTACGGCTTATAAAAAGAGTTATTTATTTGAGGGGAAAAATTACAGATTATTGTCCCAAACAACAGTCTTCTTGTCACATACAGGAAACAGAGAGTCTAGTTGCCAGGAAAGGGAGCCGGAAGCAAGAGAGAGATTTCCCAGTTCTTGCAGCTTTATAAAGCATAAGAGACCACGTCCCAGTAGTCTGGTATCTTAAAGGTTATTGTTAGGGTTCATTGTCTTCATTGTCTTCTTTTAACTTTTTTTATTTCATCAGCAGTAAAAGGCACTATAATCTCTGCTAGGTCTATACCTGCTAATTGATGAAGTCTCAATTTACCTTTTATAATTATTTCAGAGATCTTTAAAGGCCCAAGGATTTGTTTGCACTCAATGTTGCCATTCTCATAAGACAAAGATTCAATTATAATACATCTAGCTTCTGGGTCATTTACTCCTATTTGTACAGCCCTAGTTAATCTTTGCAAAAGTCACTAAAAGCTTTTCTCTGACTCTGTTTAACCCTAAGATATGATTTGACTCTCTGTCCTGTTGTACATACGAATAAGTTATGGTCATCATAAAGAGCTTGATCCTGAGGATCAGAGTAAAGTCCTTTACCTAGAATTTGATCTAAGAAAATCTTAAGTCCATTTGCTTTTTCTTGTAGCTCTAAAATTTTCACTTCCTCTTTTAAATAGCATTTCAAAGGTTAACTGAGTCCAATCTTGAGGCATGACTTTGCCACATTTTAACCATTTTCTCTAACAAAGACAAATGTAGTCCATAAGCTACAATTGCTCGTTTCATTTCTTTTAGATCAGTCATATGTATGGGCTCCCATGTATATTCCTTGACAACCTGAGGGTACTTGGACCCAGATGCTTTTTCTGATGTTATTACCGGAAAGGCAGGCAGAGCTCTGGGGAAAAGCTATCCCAGATATTTTTATGCACCGACGAGGTTAAATTTTGCAATTTTACCTTTTGTTCCTGGTCTTCAAATTTGATAATTTCCTCAATCTTTTCAAATCTGTTTACCACTGCTTTTGTAATGTCTTGATCTCCTGTCCAGTGTTCTGCTCTAATGCCCTCATTGAGGATTCCAAGGTATGAAGTTTGTCCAGTAGAGATAATGTCTCATCCTTGAACATAATCTTTATAGCATGTGTATTTTCTTCTGGAGAGACATTCTGTCAGTCAATCTGTCATACCCCTTTGACAGAGTCCAATTAAGACATCCAACAGTGCGAATTCTCTCAAATAATGTTTCAGCACCCACTGTCATTGATTGGGTTTTATGTGCCAAATCGGCTGTTCCCTTCTCTATAGTGCTGAATTTTCCTTTAAATAAATTACTATCCATCTGTACCATTTCCAAAAGTATCTCAGTTGACTGAATCTTGTCAGTTCAATTAGCTATAACCTTCTTCAATTTTCCAACCTCTTCCCTGAGAAGCATGGTTTCATTCTGAAAAGACTGTACCATTTCTAAAAACGCCTCTTTCCTAGCTCTATTGTCAAACCATATTTTTAAAGAAAAAAAATATTGAGTAGAAGACTAATCCCTAGAATCAAAGCTAGTGATATAGAAGGGACATCATTTAAGTCTTGTAAAACCTCACACATGGTATAAGTAAAGAGGCCATTGAAACCTTAGATGGACATATTGGACCTTTAAATTAGCAATTTATGCTCTATATTTAGGATATTAAATCTTACCTGTGGTTCAATTAGTTGGATTAAGTGCAATAACCATAAACTACCGGTAGGTGCCGCCACCAACAAAACTGATCCAGCAGGGCATAGTGGTGCATGTGAATTCACCTGTGGCCAGTCTGAGTTCTGATTTTAGAGTAGAATGCTAAAAGATAAATCACAGACTGTGTGCTCTGCGGATGTCTAGGGCAATGAAACAGGCAAATGCAAACAAATCATTAGAATGCCACAGAACAGCTTGCTCAGACAAGGTAAGCCCTTGTTTCACCAAAATGTCTGCAATGCACCGTGGTGGGAGGCAAATGGTAGGTTGCTTGGGTACTTGAAGCCAATCCAAGGCATGTAAAGGGAAAAGAATTGTGGCTGATCTGTAGAAAAGCTTCTCTGCGAGATTCTATATTAAACAGCTGGCTCCAGGCACAGGCCGTGGCCTGCTGAGGGATTGCTCAGGCCCAGCTGGGCTGATGGCAGACAGTAGAGCCAGGGGCTCCAGATGAAGCCTCAAAACAATCCCGCGCCAATTAAAAATTAGGAATAATAAAAATGGTTATTTATTTGAGGGGAAAAATTTACAGATCACCGTCCCAAAAAACATTCTTCTTGTAGCAAACAGGAAACAGAGAGTCCAGTCACTAGAAAGGGAGCGGGAAGCAAGACAGATTGCCCAGTTCCTACTGCTTTTTAAAGTATAAGAGACCACGCCCCAGTGGGCTGGTATCTTAAAGACTATTGGCTGAGGAGCAGAAAAATCTCCAGTAGGAATTGGTCACCAAACAAAGGAATGCTAACCACAGGAATCCCATGGTACAGCGCCTCATAGATGCCATTGATGCCACCATGAGTTATAAAAACTCTGGTTTTAGGATGACCTAACAAGGAGATAAATTAAGGGCAAATATTAACTATAAGTCTGAGAAAGAAAATGAGAGGCAGAGGAAAAGGGCCCAGAAAGGGCAATTATTCTCTAGACAACATCATCATACCCATGAAATGGAACTGAAGTCCTCTCATGTCTTAGATATGGAGCATCACAAGTCCATGGATGCTTATTGAAGGCCACATAGAGAAGGTGGAGTGTGGAAGTAGAATGATTTTTGCAGTGGACAAAAAGGCAGAGCACCTTCCAAGTGGAGCAATCACCAAATGCAAACACAGGCAATGATTCAGGAGAGAATGTTCTCCTAAAGAAACAGTGAAGTCACTGCTCATAATAGGTTCCTTCCATGTGGTAGGTGGCTAGTTGCTCACACTGATGGGATGAAGCTTAAGACAAGCAATACTCCATCCAATATAGGACTGCGTCATGATGTGAAGTTTTCGAGGTGCTAGTAAATGAAGGGTCATTAATGAAAGAATACCATCCTCGCTGGCATTTGAAATGGTGCTACCCTAGAGGAAAGGGCAGGTGTAAAGGTTTAGAAATAGGAGGTGAACACAAACATGAAGAAGTGGCTTAAGTTTATCTGAATGAAAATTACAGAGGAGAAAATAATGGATATTCCAATCTCCAATGTTACTGTACATCATAGTCACACCAATTTTTATCCATTTTCGCTAGGACTAGATTACATTTGTCATAAATGCATTAATGTTGACATACCCCTTATTGTCTCAGGCATATCTCTTGATGCTTGTCGAGAAGGTCATTCTGGGGAATCCATTTGTACAGCCAAGTGTTGGAGCCCAAGGTGTCTGGCTTCTTGCCTTCAAATCGCCAAAGAACCTGTTAAGATGAAGCTAGCTTCTTATTACTTAGGTCAAATGTCAAGTTCCTCCTGCTAGATTTCTGGAGAGATTAAGAATCGATGGAGATAAACCCCAGTCCCTAAGGGCCAGGCAGTGAGGATGGATGATGGGAACCGTGAAGAACTACTACAGCAAGAAAGCAAGTTCTCTTCACTGTCCTGCAGTTAGTCTCGTGCTTATCCGAGTTTCAGCCTGGCACCTTAATGTTTGGTCAACAGCAGCTTAGGGAAAGTTATGTGCAGTAAAGTGAAACAGGAGTTAAGAACAGTGTGAATGTAATTCCAGTTCATCAATCCATCAAAGTTACAAATATATACCAGTTTTTTTCAGCATATATTTGTAACAGTTTCTATTTTCCAAATTTCACTATAAGTACTTGCCCTTGGTATTTGATTTAGTTCACATATAATCACTTCTATCATCAGTATTTTACTAGATTAGACCCTTGTGTTGTGGCATATGGTCACTTCAAGAGTAAGTTCCCAAGTTACCCCTTGTTTCAGAATTCATAGACTAAGACCCCAGTTGGAATTGAGATTGGTAAATCCTGTCCTACCTCCTTTTTCTTCTTCTTCTTCTTCTTCTTCTTCTTCTTCTTCTTCTTCTTCTTCTTCTTCTTCTTTTTGAATAGCAGAGCAAGTAATACCATGCATAGGCCCATTTTGAAATGTGGATGATGGAAACTGCAGTGAGTTTTTTAAATACATAAAAAATATTATCTAAATAAAAAGGTGTTTGATCGTATTTGGCCGTGATAACAAAGGAATATGATACAACACTCATTCCAGTTTTTAAACTTATATTTTCTTTATTTAAAGAAGGCTTTTTTCCCACATAATATATTCTGTTTATCGTTTCTTCTCCTCTAAACCTTCCCCTGATTGTCATCTCCCTTTTTATCCAAATACATATTCTTTTTCTTTGTTTTGTTGTGTTTCCAAATGAAGTTAAAAATTAGTTGTCCTTTCAAATTCTGTAAAGAATTACGTTGGAGTTTTGATGGGGATTTTTAGAATAATTGGTAGAATGATTATTTCCTTTATATTAACCCTATTGATCCATAATAATGGGAGATCATTTCATCTTCAGTTTCTTTCTTTGATGTCCTAAAGTTATTTTTTTATTTTATTTTATTTTGCACAAAGTCAAAATATTTTATTTGTTATGCCTGGATCACAGAGTTGCTCCCAAAACCAACTAGGAGACTGAATCTTGTATGTGAAAGCAAAGAGCCTTTATTCTCTCTCTCTCTCTCTCTCTCTCTCTCTCTCTCTCTCTCTCTCTGTTTTTTGATCAAACTCATAGACATCCACCTGCTTCTGCCTCCCGAGTGCTGGTATTAAAGGCGTGTGCCTCTACCAGCTGCTGAGCCTTTAGTCTTACACAAGTTCACAACTTGAGCTCCTTGTGTGTCCAACCTATTGGTGTGGTCAGAGAGCCCTGAGCTCAGATGGGGTTGGGTTTTTTATCATAACAAAAGTAGGGATGAGGAATTTCTAAGGTTCAAGACCCTTTGTCTAGGGGTGTCCTGGTAAGACGCAATGGGTGTGTGCTGGCAGGTGATTCTATTTACAATGCTTGGAACATTAGGAATTTCCTGTTCCTGGGTGGTGCCTGGTGGTCTCAGTTTGTGGTTTTGTTTTTTTTTTTTAATTTATTTATTTATTAAGGATTTCTGCCTCCTCCCCGCAACCGCTTCCCATTTCCCTCCCCCTCCCCCGATCAAGTCCCCCTCCCTCATCTGCTTAAAGAGCAATCAGGGTTCCCTGACCTGTGGGAAGTCCAAGGACCGCCCACCTCTATCCAGGTCTCGTAAGGTAAGCATTCAAACTGCCTAGGCTCCCCCAAAGCCAGTACGTGCAGTAGGATCAAAAACCAACTGCAATTGTTCTTGAGTTCTCAGTATTCCTCATTGTCCGCTATGTTCAGCTAGTCCGGATTTATCCCATGCTTTTTCAGACCTAGGCCAGCTGGCCTTGGTGAGTTCCCGATAGAACATCCCCATTGTGTCAGGGTGTGGGTGCACCGCTCGTGGTCCTGAGTTCCTTGCTCGTGCTCCCTCTCCTTCTGCTCCTGATTGGACCTTGAGATTTCTGTCCCATGCTCCCATGTGGGTCTCTGTCTCTGTCTCCTTTCATCGCCTGATGAAGGTTAATATTCATGAGGATGCCTATGTGTTTGTCTTTGGATTTACCTTCTTATTTAGCTTCTATAGGAACATGAATTATAAGCTCAATGTCCTTTATTTATGACTAGAAACCAAATATGAGTGAGTACATCCCATGTTCCTCTTTTTGGGTCTGGCTTACCTCACTCAGGATAGTGTTTTCTATTTCCATCCATTTGTATGCAAAATTCAAGAAGTCCTTGTTTTTTACTGCTGAGTAATACTCTAATATGTATATATTCCATACTTTCTTCATCCATTCTTCCATTGAAGGGCATCTAGGTTGTTTCCAGGTTCTGGCTATTACAGACAATGCTGCCAAGAACATAGTTGAGCATATACTTTTGTTGCATGATAGGTCCTCTCTTGGGTATATTCCCAAGAGTGGTATTGCTGGATCCAGGGGTAGGTTGATCCCGAATTTCCTGAGAAACCGAAACACTGATTTCCAGAGTGGTTGCACAAGTTTGCATTCCCACAAGCAATGGGTGAGTGTACCCCTTTCTCCACAACCTCTCCAGCAAAGACTATCATTGGTGTTTTTTATTTTAGCCATTCTGACAGGTGTAAGATGGTATCTTAAAGTTGTCTTGATTTGCATTTCCCTGATCGCTAAGGAAGTTGAGCATGACCTTAAGTGTCTTTTGGCCATTTGAAGTTCTTCTGTTGAGAATTCTCTGTTCAGCTCAATGCCCCATTTTATAATTGGGTTGATTAGCCTTTTACGGTCTAGTTTCTTGATTTCTTTATATATTTTGGAGATCAGACCTTTGTCAGTTGCGGGGTTGGTGAAAATCTTCTCCCAGTCAGTGGGTTGCCATTTTTGTCTTAGTGACAGTGTCCTTTGCTTTACAGAAGCTTCTCAGCCTCAGGAAGTCCCATTTATTCAATGATGCCCTTAGTGTCTATGCTGCTGGGGTTATACGTAGGAAGTGGTCTCCTGTGCCCATGTGCTGTAGAGTACTTCCCACTTTCTCTTCTATCAGGTTCAGTGTGTTCGGACTGATATTGAGGTCTTTAATCCATTTGGACTTGAGTTTTGTGCATGGTGATAGATATGGATCTATTTTCATTCTTCTACAGATTGACATCCAGTTTTGCCAGCACCATTTGTTGAAGATGCTCTCTTTTTTCCATTGTATACTTTTAGCTCCTTTATCGAAAATCAGGTGTTCATAGGTTTGTGGGTTAAAGTCAGGGTCTTCTATTCGATTCCATTGGTCGACTTCTCTGTTTTTATGCCAATACCAAGCTGTTTTCAATACTGTAGCTCTGTAATAGAGTTTGAAGTCAGGGATGGTAATGCCTCCAGACAATCCTTTATTGTATAAGATTGTTTTGGCTATCCTGGGTTTTTTGTTTTTTCCATATAAAGTTGATTATTATCCTCTCAAGATCTGTGAAGAATTTTGATGGGATCTTGATGGGGATTGCATTGAATCTATAGATTGCTTTTGGTAGAATTGCCATTTTTACTATGTTGGTCCTCCCAATCCAAGAGCAAGGGAGGTCCTTCCATTTTCTGGTGTCTTCTTCAATTTCTTTCTTCAAAGACTTATAGTTCTTGTCAAATAGATCTTTCACTTCCTTGGTCACAGTTACCCCAAGATATTTTATGCTATTTGTGGCTATCGTGAAAGGTGATGCTTCTCTGATTTTCCTCTCTGCTTCCTTATCCTTAGTGTATAGGAAGGCAACTGATTTTTTGGAGTTGATCTTGTATCCTGCCACATTACTAAAGCTGTTTATCAGCTGTAGGAGTTCTTTGGTAGAATTTTTGGGGTCGCTTATGTATACTATCATATCATCTGCAAATAACGAAAGCTTAACTTCTTCCTTTCCAATACGAATCCCCTTGATCTCCTTATGTTGTCTTATTGCTATTGCTAGAACTTCAAGCACTATATTGAAGAGGTATGGAGAGAGTGGACATCCTTGTCGTGTTCCTGATTTTAGTGAGATGGCTTTGAGTTTTTCTCCATTTAATTTAATGTTAGCTGTTGGCTTGCTGTAAATAGCTTTTATTATATTTATGTAGGACCCTTGTATCCCTATTCTCTCCAAGACCTTTATCATAAAGGGGTGTTGAATTTTGTCGAATGCTTTTTGAGCATCTAATGAAATGATCATATGGTTTTTTTCTTTCAGTTTATTTATATGGTGGATTACATTGATAGATTTTCGTATGTTGAACCAGCCCTGCATCTCTGGGATGAAGCCTACTTAATCATAATGGATAATTTTTCTTATGTGTTCTTGGATTCGGTTTGCCAGTATTTTGTTGAGAATTTTTGCGTCGATGTTCATGAGTGAGATAGGTCTGTAATTCTCTTTCTTGGTTGCGTCTTTGTGTGGTTTTGGTATCAGGGTAACTGTAGCTTCATAAAAGGAATTTGGCAATGCCTCTTCTGTTTCTATATTGTGAAATACATTAAGGAGTATAGGTATTAGTTCTTCTTGGAAGTTCTGGTAGAATTCTGCATGGAAACCATCTGGTCCTGGGCTTTTTTTCGAAGGGAGATTTTTGATAACTGTTTCTAATTCTTCGCCAGTAACCGGTCTATTGAGATCATTCACCTGGTCTTGGTTTAGCTTTGGTATATGGTACTTATTTAAAAAAATGCCCATTTCTTTTGTATTTTCCAGTTTTGAGGCATACAGGCTTTTGTAGTAAGATCAAATGATTCTCTGAATTTCCTCTGTGTCTGTGGTTATGTCCCCCTTTTCATTTCTGATCTTATTTATTTGCGTGTTCTCTCTCTGTCGTTTAATTAGTTTGGATAGGGGTTTGTCTATCTTGTTGATTTTCTCCAAGAATCAGCTTTTTGTTTCATTGATTCTTTGGACTGTTTTCTGTGTTTCTATTTTGTTGATTTCAGCCCTCAGTTTTATTATTTCCAGTCTTCTACTTCTCCTGGGTGCATCTGCTTCTTTTTTTTTCTAGAGCTTTCAGGTGTGTTTTTAAGTCCCCAATGTATGCATTCTCCGTTTTCTTTAAGTGGGCACTTAGTGCTATGAACTTTCCTCTTAGCACTGCTTTCATTGTGTCCCATAGGTTTGAGTATGTTGTCCCTTTATTTTCATTAAATTCAAGGAAGACTTTAATTTCTTTCTTGATTTCTTCCTTGACCCACGTGTGGTTCAGTAGTTGACTGTTCAGTTTCCATGAGTTTGTCGGTTTTTTGGGGGTAGCGTGGTTGTTGCCTTCTAACTTTAATCCGTGGTGATCTGATAAGACACAGGTGGACACTGATATTTTTTTGTATCTGTGGAGGTTTCCTTTGTTTCCGAGTATGTGGTCAATTTTTGAGAAGGTTCCATGAGCTGCAGAGAAGAAGGTATATTCTTTCCTATTTGGGTGGAATGTTCTATAGATGTCTGTTAAGTCCATTTGCTTCATTACCTCCAATAATTCTCTTAATTCTCTATTAGGTTTCTGCCTGATTGACCTGTCCCTTGGAGAGAGAGAGGTGTGTTGAAGTCTCCTACTACTAGTGTGTGTGGTTTGATGTCTGCCTTGAGTTCTAGTAATATTTCTTTTACATAAGTAGGTGCTTTTATATTGGGGGCATAGATAGTCAGGATTGAGACGTTATCCTGATTAATTGTTCCTGTCATGAGTATAAAGTGACCATCTCGGTCTCTTCTGATTGATTTTAGTTTGAAGTCAGTTTTGTTAGAAATTAGTATGGCCACACCTGCTCTTTTCTTAGGACCATTTGCTTGAAACACCTTTTCCCAACCCTTTACTCTGAGTAGTTGCCTGTCTTTGTGGTTGAGATGTGTTTCTTGCAAACAGCAGAATGTTGGATCCTGTTTTCTTATCCAATCTTTTAGCCTGTGCCTTTTTATAGGTGAATTAAGCCCATTAATATTAAGTGATATTAATGACCAATGGTTGTTTACTCCAGTTATTCTTACTGCTTTTGGTAGTAGAGATTGTGTGTCTCCCTTCTTGGAGATGTGCTGGTGAAGGGTCACTAGATGCCTGGGTTATTGTAGGCAGTGGTGTCAGTGTTGGATTCCTTGGGTTGCGATTTTCCTTCTATTACTTTCTGTAGGGCTGGATTTGTGGCTACGTATTGTTTAAATTTGTTCTTATCCTGGAATGTCTTGTTTTCTCCATTGATAATGAACGATAGTTTAGCTGGGTATAGTAGTTTGGGTTTGCATCCATGGTCTCTTAGTTTCTGTAGTACATCTATCAAGGACCTTCTGGCTTTCATAATTTCCATAGAGAAGTCAGGTGTAAGTCTGATTGGTTTACCTTTATAAGTTACTTGCCCTTTTTCCTTTGCAGCTCTTAATATTCTTTCTTTAGCCAGTATATTTTGTGTTTTGATTATTACATGGCGAGGAGATGTTTTTCTTTGATCCAGTCTGTTTGGTATTCTGTATGCTTCTTGAATATTTAACTGAATATCTTTCTTTAAGTTGGGAAAGTTTTCTTCCATAATTTTGTTGAAAATATTTTCTGGGCCTTTGAGCTGTGACTCTTCTCCTTCTTCTATTCCTATTATTCTTAGGTTTGGTTTTTTTTTATTGTGTCCCATATTTCCTGAATGTTTTGTGTTGAGAATTTGTTGGCTTTGCTGTTTTCTTTGATCTGTTCGTTTATTTTCTCTATGGTGTCCTCAGCATCTGAGATTCTTTCTTCTAGCTCTTGTATTCTATTGATTATGCTTGTTTCTGTAGACTCTGCTCATTGACCTAAATTTTCCATATCCAGCTGGTCCTCAGTTTGTATTTTCTTCCTTGCCTTCATTTCAGTTTTCAATTCTTGAACTGTTTCCATTACCTGATTGATCGTTTTTTTCTTGGTTTCCCAGGGTATCATGCACGTATTTACTCATTTCTTCAAACTTTTTGTTATACTTCTCATCCATTTCTATAAGGGCATTTTTTACATGTTGTTTAAGGGACTCTATTGCCTTCATAAATTCAATTTTTTCCACTTCTTCTGTGTTAGGTTGTTCAAATACTTCTGTTGTAAGATCATTGGGTTCTGGTGTTTTCATGTTGTTTTCAGATTGTTGGGTGAATTCTTGCCTTGGCGCCTGCCCATCTCCTCCTGTTGATCCTATCTAATGGGTCTTTTAAAAACCGGATCAGGTTTTCCCGCTGGCCAAGGGCTCCTCTTACAAAATGCCCTCGCTCTGTTTCCTGCCGCAGGCCAAGAACCCTCTCACCCCTCCGAAGGGTCTTCAGGACAGGACCAGGCTCCCCGTGTGCCAGTGACCTGGCCAACCAAAGGCCTACCTCTTTGATTTAATTGTAGTAGGGCGATCTGCTCTCCTTATTGCACACCTGTCCCCGGTCTGCCTTCGCGCCGGTCCTCCAAAGCCTCTTCCTGAATGTGGTGTCGCTCCGCTGCGTCTGGCCACCGCGCCGCCTCTGTACGTCTGGCCCTGGCCGCTGCACCGCCTCTGTGCCTAAAGTTATTTTTTTAAACACAAGTCTTTTGCTTGTCTGATTAGTTACCACAAGATAAAGAATTTAATTTTTAGTTTTTGAGGCTATTCTGAAAGGCATTGTTTTCCTGATTTTTTTCAGTCTCCTTGTCATTTGAATATAAGAAGCCTACTAAATTTTGTGACTTAATATCTTATCCTGCTTCTTTGCTGAAAGTGATTATCAGCTCTAGAATGTTCCAGGTGGAAGTTTTAGTGTTTCTTCAATATAAAAATCACATATTTACAAATAAAGTTAGTTTGTCTTCTTCCTTAATTGTATCCTCTTCATCCAGCTTAGACTTTTAGTAGTATATGTAGTAAGTAGATATGAAAAGACAGAGAGAGAAGAGAAAGAGAGAGAGAGAGAGAGATAGAGAGAGAGAGAGAGAGAGAGAGAGAGAGAGAGAGAAAGGACATCCTTGTCCTTATTTCAGTGAAAATGCTTTGAGTGCCTTCCCATTTAAGTTCTTATTTTCTGTGGTATGTTTTTAATCATTTATTATATTATGTGTCATTGGATTCTGTTCATAAGTTTTTGTTGAAAATTTTTGCATCTATGTTCAGAAGAAAAATTTTTCTGTAATTCTCTCTGTTTTTGGGGCCTTTTTGTGGTTTTGTATCAGGGTAATTGTGGCTTCATACTAAAATGAATCATGCAATTTTCCTTCAGTTTCTCTTTTGTGTAATAATTTGAGAAGTATTGGCATTAACTCTTTCTCTATCGGCTGGTAGAATTCTGAGTAGAATCCATATAGCTCTGGGATTTTTGGTTGGGAGATCTAATTGCCATGTTTATTTTATTAGGGGTTATGGGTTGGTTTAAATTTCTTATCTGATCTTGATTTAATTTTAGTGCATTGTATATATCAATAAATTTATCTATTTCCTTTAGTTTTGTGTTTTTTTCCATAATGTAGAGCTATGAGATTTCATTTTACAATGTGTAAATCCTTTATTCAACAGAAGACCTGCAAATGCCGTTTTATAAGTTAATTTTGTATTTCTAATGATATTATTTGACATAGAAATATTTCAATTTTATGGTCATTGCCAGGATACAATGATTTTTTGCAAACAAAACAGGGTATACAGTATTAATGTGTAAGTACAATTGTGTCCTGTCAAATTTCTATACGCTTTGCTGACTTTGAAAGAACACAGAGAAACACAAGGTGGCCTGACTGCTTTAATGTCTGGGGAAGTGCCTTGACTTTTCAGAAACTGAAAGGAACACAGTACCCCAAGAGCCATGGATTTAAACCTAAAAAACCCATGATTCATGCTATTCAGAAAGATAGACCAGGCTCACTCCATGATTCCCTTCAGTGAGTGATAGGCTAGCATTGGCGAAAGGTACTGATTGAGTTCTCTTAATTAGGACTTGGGTTCTGGCTTCACAAAGAGCAACAGAGGAAGAACTAGGGTACCTGGTTCAGGTCAAGCATTGCAGTGAGTTTGTATTGGATGGAAATGGGATAGGAAGAGTGACTAGGCTACTGGCACTTCCTAAATTGAGGTGGATAAGGCTAGGTTTCCTATCTGGGTCACAGTCAAGCATGTGTGGGGTACCAGGTAGAGAGTAGTTCTGCAGAACTTTGGGGACTCACAAAGGAATGGAGATGTACTAGAAGGAATAGCTGAAGGATGCCACAGAATAACTAGGGGTACTGTGGACCCACCTCCTCAAAAACTTTTAAAGTGGTGTGTGTGTGTGTGTGTGTGTGTGTGTGTGTGTGTGTTATGTGCCATAGAACTCTTTTATTGGTAAAGGTAATGTGGGATTTAATTATCTTCTTACTGCATCTTGGTCCCAGGGTTTGATTTATCTCAGGTGGTTAGGCTTGGTGGAAAGTACCTCTATCAGCTTAGCTGTCACATGAGGCACATTATCAGAAAATGCTTTTTATTCCTTTAGAATCTTTTTGTCACATTGTCACTCAGGCCAGGAAAATATGAAAAGAGGAACCCTTAATTTGAGGAAGCATCTGCATGAGAGTGGCCTCTAGGCACTGTCTGTAGGCATTTTCTTGGTTGATGATTTATTTTGGACTCCTCAGCTCACTGAGGGTCGTGTTACCCCCGGGCAACTGGTGGAGCAGACTCAGCAAGCCAGTCAGAAGCGTTCCTCTATGACCCCTGTTTCACTTCCTGGCTAGGAGTTTCCTCCTTGACTTACGTCAGTGATAGATTATCCAGAGATCTACAAAGAAAAGTAAAACCTTACCTCCCTAAGTTACTTTTAGTCATGTTCATTACAACTCTGGGGGCCAGCCGTGATAAGCTACGTATGGGCAGGTCACCCAAAGGAAGTTCTTTACTTGCAATCATTAACACCTGCCCGAGTAGAACTTGGCCATTGATAAATTTATTAAGAGGCCTGAGTCTCAGTAGTTTACCCTGAAGCAATGCCTGGTTGTAGGAAGAACTACAAGCTGCTCTTACCTGACCTCTACCCAAGAACAGACCATTAAAAGGAAATGCTTAACATTCCAACCACTATAGGTAGGACCACCTGCCAGAACACACTCACCAGGACACCCCTAGAAAAAAAAGCGCAGGGCCAAATGGTTTCAGCTCTGAAGCCTACAAGGGTTTCAAAGAAGAAATAACAATACTCCTCAAATTGTTCCACACATCAGACAGGGCCTGATCTCCAAATATATAAAGAACTCAAGAAACTGGTCACCAACATAACAATCCAATAAAAAATGGGTATAGACCTAAACAGAGAACTCTCAAGAGACGATCTAACATGAACGAAGGGCATTTAAGGAAATGCTCAACATCCTTAGCCATCAGAGAAATGCAAATCAAAACAACAGTGAGATTCCATCTTAAAACTTTCAGAATGGCCAAGATCAAAAACACTAATAACAGCTAATCATAGAGAGGCTGTAAGGTAAAAGGAGCACTTCTGCATTGCTGGTGGGAGTGCAAACTGGTGTAGCTGCTTTGGGAATCAGTATGGTGATTTTTCAGATATTTAGGAAACAACCTGACTCATGACTCAGCAATACCACTTTTGGGTATATACCCAAAGAATGCTCAATCATACCACAAGGACAGGTGTTCAACTATGTTCATAGCAGATTATTTGTCATAAAAGAAACTGGAAACCACCTAAGTGCCCCTCGACCAAAGAATGGTTCAGAAAAATGTGGTATATTTTCACAATGGAGTACTACATAGCAAAAAAAAAAAAAAAAAAAAAAAAAAAAGAATGACACCTTAAAATTAGCAGGCAAATGGATGGATCTAGAAAACATCAATTGAGTGAGGTAACCCATACTCAGAAAGACAAATATCATATGTACTCACTCATAAGTGGATTTTAGACATAAAGCAAACAAAAGCCAGCCTACAATTTATAATTGCAGAAAACCTAGAGAACAAATGAGACTCTAAGAGAGACACACATGGATCTAATCTACATGGGAAGTAGAAAAAGATAAGAACTTCTTAATAAATTGGGAGAGTGGCGATCATGGGAGAGGGTAGAAGTGGAGGAGGTGGAAGGGAGTGGAGAAAATTATATAGCTCAATAAAAACAGTTAAAAAAAGAAAACCCTCATAAGTGTGTCCTATAGCTTAGGTTTTAGTTGATTTCAAATGCACTCAGGTTGACAATTAAGTTTGGCCATCACACATGTTTTTGAAAACTATAGTTGATGAGGTGTTGATCATTCTCTGCCTCTCTCTCATGTGTCTGTGTATGTGTGTGTGATGTGAGCAGGCATGTGAGGAGTGTGTGTATGTGCATGTGTGTGCATTAATTCATGTGTATGCCAAAGACAGAGGATGCCCAGTGTCTTCCCTGCTCTCTTATTCACTTATTCATCACCTATCTTATTCACTAAAGACAGGCTATTTCACTGAACATGAAGGTTGCACTTCTCTTAGGCTGGGTGGCCAGTAAGTCCTCGGATCCAAGTGTCTCTCCCTGCCTCCTTTCCAGAACTTATAGACATTCACACAAGCATGCTAGGTTTCCACACATGATGGAAATTTGATCTAACTCCTAATTCTGGCGCAGCAAGGACTCTTAACCACTGAGCAATCTTCCCAGCACGTATTCATTATTTCAAAACATCTTCTATAGAAATATTGAGGTCACAGCATAAGTATGAAGAACAAAGGTAAATTATATTGTTTGTTAACAGTAATGTAGATATATAGACACTCACAGCTACACACTGCAACAATGAAAACATACCTTTTTTGAGTTTTGTTTGTGATATCTAAACTTAAATTTGGAATCTTACATCTGTTCCCAAAGATTAATTATGATAATGAGACAATTTTATTATTAATTTAATGGGTAAGTGGAAACAAAATTAATTTCACAAATCCAAGTAGCTCTTCAATATTAATTTTTATTTTATGTGTTTTTATGTTGACTCTGCATGTACATCCACCAGAAGCCAGAAGAGGATGACAAACTCCATTGAACTGGTGTTACTGATGGTCTTCTGGAAGAGGAGTTAGTGTTCCTAACTGCTGAGCCCATCTCTCCATTTCAAGTACTGTCTTGGTAGATCTTTAAGAAAAAGGTTATTCAGAAGCTTTGTGCCCAGTGTGAGACCAGCACCCATACTGGTATCCCAAAGACGAATATGGGACCAGGATTTTTACACAGCTCCAATCCTGAACACTTTGCCTAGAAATTTTTACTACAAAGTCTGCAATAAGCAAATTGAAAACTTCTTCAATACTTGCAAAACCATGTTGTTATCAATAGTGGGCTTCTTAGTGATCTTGCATCCACAAACAACCTCTGAGACACCTTCATTCTCTGGGGGAGTTAGTGAGTTTGAAGTGTGTAATTGTATATTTTTATATGTGTGTGCTCATTTGTGATGGGGGGGGCACCTATCATGGCAAGCATATGGGATGTCAGAGTACAATCACCAGTGCTATTTTTCACTTTCCACACTTCATGAGGCAGGGTAGCTTTTGCTGAGCAAAAGGCTAATTGGCCTGAAAGTGTGCAACTCTGTCTCAGACACACATCTGGCTTGCTTACACTGGGCCTACAGGTGCTACTGGTTACAGCTTTGATATGGGCTTTGGGGATCCAGGACTAAAGAAGAAAGTCTTGACAGACCAGTCAACCTTCGGAGTTGTCACCTCAGCCATTGTATTTTTTGGCATAACTTTTAAACTGTAAAAATGAATTTCTAAAATTCCTATGTGTAGTTATGTTGAATATTTTAATTTTACTGGGTTTACTTTTCAGTTTAATGTCAGGCCTGATGTACAATAAAGTGCAAAAATTATTAATTCTCTGGGAGAAAAAAATCCCTAGAATTGACGAATAAGACTGAGAAGCTGTCTTGTTACAGAATAAAGGACCCTACCCCCACAGCCTCCCCTGCTGTGATGCACTGGAGGAGGTCCATGTGTCAGTCCTCCCCACTTCAGCTACTCCCTTTTCTTCTTCTTTCCAGATTTAGTAAATCTCTGGCAGCAAAAGAGGCAACACTTTGTGATGACGAACATCACAGTCAGCACACAGGCAAGCAGGAATCCAAGCACGTCCAGAGAGTGGTACTGGTACCAGGTGAGGTCATGCGCTGCCACACGAAGGTGTTTGGCTCCCTTGTGGCGCATGACAAACTCGATCCAGAAGACGGCTCTGTCCAGGGGCTTCAAGGGCTGATCGTGGTGGATTCTTGATAGCCGCATGGCGTTCTCCTTATAGCTAAAGACATCACCATCAAAAGCCAATTAGTTTACTTAAGTTCTTCAAGCTTAAGAAAATTTCTGGAAAGCATCATGAGACTCAGTAAATGCCACAGAGGAGTACTAGCTACAGTGTGGTTTTGACTGGGACATGTTTGAAGGTTTGTCTGGAAGTTGGTATTCTCCAAGAAATTCTTTGCAAAACTGAAATGGGAAACTGTTTTGGGCAGGAAATCTTTCCAGAAAAGCATATATTAGTAAGGTGTCTCAGGCACTGAAGACGATTGCATTGATGCTTTTGAGAAGGCATTGTGTCTTTGAAACTCTTTGAAAACTCAATAAAAATACCACTAATGTTGAAAAGTGGATAAACTGGAAAAAAGGGACATACTTTGCACAAGACAACATAAGATGTAGCCCATTGATAGCTTGCCTACAATGCTTGGGAGTCTGAATTCCCTCCTTAGTAGAGACACAATCAAAGTAATTACAAGGATGCAGAGGATGTGGTAATTTTCAATTATTTTTTACATTTATGTATTCTAATTGTTTGTGTGCCATGGTGGGTG